TGGGGCCCCAGATACTGGAGCTATTACATCAACTGCTGGATGTACATCACGGACAACAACGACGAGTTCGCACACGCACGCGACATCCAGTACAATTCGCCGGCCCAACGGGCCAGAGGCGTGCTAAGATCTCCGGTAACTTGTTAACAATATTTCTAGTTCGCGCGCGCGGAGCGGCCCCTGGGGGCCCCCGGACGAAAAGCGCCCCGGCAAGGTCCCGAGAGAAGCCCGGGAGAAGCCACCAGACCACTCCAGGGGAGGGTATTTTTCGACACCCCTCACGAGGATCGTGGCCTCCGAGGGGGGGGCCGCAATCGACTACCCCCAAGAGCCCCCCGAGAGGCCATGGGGGCCTCCAAAACGCCGCCAAGGAGCCCCAAGAGACTCCCAAGAGGTCCCCAAGAGGCCCCCGAGAGGCCCTAAAGAGGGCTCCAGGGCCGGCGGCATGAGCGAAGCGATTAAATAATTGGCTTCGCCATTGGATCCCGGGGACGCCCTGGGAGACCTTCACGACGAGCTACGTCTCGCATGATGGCCACAGGATGTGGGACCACAGGTTCTACGAGAGGGGCAACGCGTAGTGTAGTCGGCCGCCGGGCCCACCGCTCGACAGGCTAGAATTTCATCATTACACAAGTTCGCCTCGAGCGGTGGCTAATATATCATTTTAGGCCACTTCACGATCCAAGAACAGTGGCCACACATATCCTAGCGAAACCGAGGGCAGCCTCCTAAGGAGCAACGCCAAGGGGAGTCGCCATATGCAGAATTTACATATGCAACTTTTCGTGTTACACAACGCGACTTTACGTATGGCCATGCACCTTTTCATCTGCACATTCTGCTTTAAGCGTTAGACGTGTTTCTAAACGCGATCGTGTTCATCAACACGACCTCAGATTACATTTGTTTGCGTTTACTCTTTAGACTTTGCTTACATTGCGTTGAGAATGATCTGATGCCCAGCTCTCGACCGAGAGCCGGTGGCAACACCTGCCCCGCTTTGGCGCGGCAGCTTCTGATGTTGCTTGAACTGGCTCAGATCCTCTTTCTCCGCCCGCCTGCGTCTCATTCTTCTCCGCCCTCGAGTGCCGAAGCGTTTTTGGGGGGGCGCACCGAGGGGGCACCAAGGCGTGCTTGGCGAAGAAACAGGGACCCTGGGTGTTCCTTCTTACCTTACCTTGCCTAATCGTGAGCGCTATCGCGATTGGGACGCAGCTGAAGCTATACAGATCTCGTGCTCAGCTGCCTGAGAGAACTGAGGATTTGAGGAGTAAAAGGGTGACGGGATATGTTCCTCTGTGCTCCCGAGTCATGCCCTCGCGGGCGGGATTTGAGACGGGGGGCGTGAATAGACCCCGTGTAATACCCTCATATATACTCCTTATCCTCACCTCCCCTGCGCCTGGCCGTTTGGGCTCAGGCATTGGGACAGATCGATCAGACCTCTGATCGCGCAGGAGGAAAATATATCCATATTTCCCTCCTTCCCTCTACCAGCGGATCAGGGGTTCTGTGCCCGTGCACTCCAACCCCATGCACAGGAGGAGGAGGAGGAGGAGGAGGAATAGGCACGAGGGGGAGGGGGGGGTGGGGGTGCCTCCTCCTCTGCGTCGTCGTCGTCCTCATCCTTTTCCTTCTCCTCCTCTTCCTCTTCCTCCTCCTCCTGTTCCTCCCCCTCTTTCCCCTGATCCTCGTGCGCCTCCTGCTGCTGCTGCTGCTGGTGCTGTTGCTGTTGCTGTTGCTCCTGCCCCCCCCCCCCCCCCCGTGCTACTCATACTCCTGTTCCTCCTCTCCCCCCTGCCGTCCCCCATCGCCCCCCCTCCTCCTTCTCCTCCTGCTCTTGCTGTTCCTCCTCCTTCTCCTCCTCCTCTTCCTCCTCCGCGTCCCCCCCCTGCTCTTGCTCCTCCTCCTCCTGCTCCTACTCCTGCACCTCCTCCTTTGATGTTGTTCCTCTTCCCCTCCCCCTCCTCCTCCCCCTCCTGCTCCTCCTCCTCCTCCTCCTGCTCTTCCTGCTCCTGGGCGCGGGGTCCTGGGGCCACACTCTAGGGGCCGAGGAGGGGTCCGGGCATCGTGGAGGATTCCAGGGGCCGAAGATATGTCTACAGGCGTCAGCGCGGGTCCCTGGAGCCAGGGGTCCAAAACCCAGGGTCCAGAATCCATCAAGGGCGGACGAGAAGGAGGGGGACGACGACGAGGAGGAGGAGGAGGAGGAAAAGGCCACGGAGGAGACGAAGGCGAACGAGGACGAGGGCGAGCTCGAAGACAAAGGGCGAGGAGGAGGCCGACAACGATGACGAGCACGGGGGGGAGTCCAGGCAGTTCTCTGTTGGGCTTCGGGTTTCGTTCCCCACTCCCTGGGGTGGATTTACCGCTCTGGTTCGGTCTGTATCGGCTTGATTCGGCCCCATTCGGTCCACAAACGATCTTGGTTCGGTTTGGTTCGCGCATCTACCACAACCATTCCGGTTCAGTTCGATTCGTGTTGGGGGGGATGTTGGTTTGTGGCCGTTCGATTCAGCCTGGTTCAGTCCAAGAAGAAGGCAGCACAGTACGAGATTTCCAGGGCTCCAGGAGGGTCGGCCGTGAGGACCCTCTGGAACGATATTCGCTGTTGATGGCACTGCTTGCCGTGACTAGAACTGAAGCGCGCGCGCATCGCGCGCGTAGTTCTAGTATGTATATATATATATATATACATGTATCTATAACTGCTGGGGATCAGAATTGTGTTGGCTTCGCGTTTCCCGTAGCCCATCCGCACATTCAGGGTGCGGGCAACCAGGGTGAGCAGAGAGATCTCCGGGAGCAATGGGCGTTGCTTTGGGGGGCCTCGTCGGGCCCGCGTGGAGGCGAGGGAAAGAGGAGGAGGAGGAGGAATACGACGACGACAACGACCAGCACAAGGAAGAGAAGGAAAAGGAACTATAAGCTAATGAGGCCAAGGATGAGGACGAGGAGGAGGAGGAGGACAACAAGGACGAGGACAGAGCCCTGAAATCGCCTCTTGGGGTCCTTTGGGGTGTCCTGGGGCCCTCGTGGGACACTGTTGAAGCTCTCTTGGGGGCCCCTTGGGAGCCCTGGAGGGTTTTTGGGGGCCATCGTGGATTCCATCGATCAGAACGAGGGAGGGGGGGGGTGGGTGGGTGGGTAGGGGGGGGGGGGGGGGGGGCAATGTGCCTCTCCCTCTGGGGTCATCATAATCGCCTCTTGGAGCGCTCTTGGGTTCTCTTGGGGCCGTCTAGGGGGCATCTTGGGCCCCTTTTAAGCCTCTGTTGGGCTATCTTGGGGCCACCTTGAGGCCTCAAAAGCGCCGGAAGCGAAACGGCGAGCAGGCAAGCATCATTGATTTTCCATCGGTATTTGAAGGAGTTCGGCTTCATAGGGGTTCTAGGGGGTCCTGAAGGGGCTCCGAGAGTACTTGGGATCGTCGTGTGGCCCTTGGAGACATGTCGGAAGCTTTCTTGAACCATCGTCGGTTATCTTGAGCCATCTTGGAGGCCATCTTCCAGCATCGGAGGCCCTCTTGGAGCCATCTTAGGCGCCCTGACACTTCATTGCACTCCCCGAAAACCTTCGTGGAGGGGCTGGAGAGGTAAACCTCCCTGAAAGGAAGGGGTTCTTGGACGAGGAAGGACAGAGCTCGTGAGACCACCTCATACAGTGGGGGCGCGCATCAAGAAACCATATGCTTTTCGTCCGTGTATCCTGGGTTTCTTCGCTCCTCGCGTTGCGCGGTGACTTCCCGCAGCCGTTGAAGAATCTGCTACGTTCAGGGTGCTCCGGGTTTCCCCCCAGGTGCACCTCGCGCGCGGGTTCTCACGGTTGGGTCTCTTGCGAGGGTTTCTTGCGGCCGCGCCCGCACAGTAACCCAAGTGGCTGGTGGGGTTCGGGGGACGTGTACAGCCCAGTGGATACAGCGGGGGTGTCCGATACCCAGACTTGCAGGGGTGGGGCGTCGCGCGTGGTCGTACCGTTGTCGCGGCTCCCCTGGAGAGGGGGGGAGGGCGCGCACCCCCGGCGTCGCGACCGCCTCAACGTCGCAGATTTTCCCCACGACTTCTGGCCGTTTTGGGGCCTCGTGGGAGCCGTTTTGGACCCCATCGAGGAGGCCTCTATTCGGGCTGTCAGGAAAAACGCAGGGCGAGAATGAAAGGCTCCGTGGAAGAGTTCGAGAGCGCCGGGAGCCCCGCGCCGAGACAGAAGCACAGCAACGAAGGAGCAGCACGGCGACCTCTCGTTTGATAGTTTGGCGATTTGTCTCCAATCGACTTGAGCCAATCTTGGGCGTTCCAGCGCGAGTCGAGGGACAGCATCGGAGGCCTAGAATTTGACACCAACACCAGTGTCGGTGGTGTGCCTCCACCGAAGGAAGATAAACCTGATCTCGGCGATGGTGGTAATTTTCGGGCTTCCCAGCAGGCCAATCTATTACCACCAGCACCAAAATCTAGGATTATCTTCCTCCAGTGGAGACAACCACTGGTGTTGGCGTAGGTGCCCATTCCCAAGCTTTCAACAGCAGACGTCGCCGAGCCCTCAACGACGAATCTCCCATTTCTGTCTATACTCCTGCTGCTGCTGTTCCTCCTGCTCCTTCGCCCCTCTGCTTCTCCTGCTGCCTCCGCCGGGGGAGGAATCTGGGTGCGGGGGAATGAAGAGAGGGAAGGGGGGGTAGAAGTGACAAGGACATGTGAACAGATGAGTGATGGACAGAAGAAAGGAGAGGGAAGAGAGATGCAAGAGGAATATGGAAGGAAGGAAAACCGACCCCGATAATTTTCGTTTGCTCAACGGCCCCGAGCGTTTACTAAACAGGCCTCCCCTTTTCCATCCCTTTCATTGGTGAGTTTACGGGTGATGCAGTGTCCCCTAGATATGGAACGAGGACGATGGAGGAAAGACGGGAAAAGAGGGCAGGCGACCGTGCACGCGCTTGCGGAGGGGAGGGGGGGAGGAGGAGGGGGGGGAACCCTCCTGGGCGACGGGCGCTGCCGCAGGAGCAGCTGGGAGGCGGTGAGTGCACTCTGAGGGCGACGTGGGCAGATCCAGGTCCGGCTCTCCACCCTCCGTGCCGCACCGAGGTGCGAGGCCCGGACGCGGGAGGACCTGGGAGCGAGCCTGGGAGCTGGCGTCGTTTGGGGAGCTGAGGTGGCCAAGCACTGCTTCTTCCCAGCAGGAAGGGCGGGCAGGTTCGAGGTTTAGGATTCGGGGCGTCTTTGTTTTGGCTTTTTTCCGGCCTCCGGTGGGCGCGTTTCGGGTCCTCGGAGAGGTCCAGGCTCGATTTTGACCGGATTAGCAGCTTCCTGGAGCCCCAACCAGTTCAGACCCCCCAGCCGCCTTCAGCTTGAGAGGTGCATTCCGAATCTTGGCATAGCTCGGACGTGTACCTCTTGTTTTTTCTCGGCGGGGACCATCGAGGAGCATCCTGGATCATCGAGCGAACAAAACACGCACGGCATCGAACCATGCACGGGGAATGGACGTCCGAGCGATGGCGAGGAATGCAGACACCCTGAGTGCGAACACCGAAAACTGTATCAGCATGCGCTTCCGGAGGCCCGCGCGGATTCCCTGGATCGGCGCTTGGCCCGATCTTGGTGGAAGTGGGGGGCCCGCGCCCATTGCAGAACTCCTCGCGGATCTCCGAAAGCACATGTCCACATCTGTTTGCAGCTTGTTCGATGCTTTGGCTTTCCGCAGGGTACGTACTAAGGAGACCACAGGCGTAGTCCGGTTCGGCGCGCACACGTTTCGGAAGTCTGCGCGGATTTGGCCGCGCAGCAAGTTTGCGGTTTCGTGCTCTGCGAGTATGCTTTTTCAGGCCCGCGCGCAAGGCGGGTAACGAGCACGGTTCGTCCCGCGGGGGGGAGGTGGGGGATGATGGGGAGGAGGGGAGTGTGGAGGACGGCGAGGACGAAGAAGAAGAAGAAGAAGTTGAGGAGACGGAGGATGAGGTGGCCGGCGTGATTGGCGAGGAGCCTGCCTGCCCACATTTGAAGGCGGCCGCGACCATACGAGTCAGCTCCCAGTTTGCCGCGCATCGCCCACACTGGCAGCGGGGCTGGCCTTGCTCGATCGACGCAGGGGTGGTGTCTTCGGAAGCTCCCTCTTCGATCCATGTTCAAATTATACGTGTGCAATCAGGACGGCCGCCCCGCATGACCCGTCGAAGCAGTGCACCACCTCTTCATGCTCTCTGCCTCGCCGGCCCAGGGGCACCTTCGCATCTGCAGCTCGGCGGCGACCCCGCGGGGGGGAGTGGGAAGGGGCGGGCCTTCGCAGAAGGCTGGGAAGTCTCCGGGCCTCCTGAACAGTTGTCTAAGCCTCCCCCGAAGACGCAACAAAAGCTTGCAGAAGGCTAGAGGACTTCTGACAGGGCTCGCGGCCTTCGGAGAAGGCCTTCTCCTGCTGACCTCCCCCCTCCTCGCTCGCCGCCGAGCAGTGCGCTCCAGGATCCCTTCACCCACACGACTGGTTTCGGCCGTGTCCAACGCCTGCGCGTACACATAATTACACCTTGCCTCCGCGGCCAGGCGCGCGGGGGCACCTGTGGTTTGTCGGTGCCAGCGTCATCGGGGACCAACAGAGGAGCGAGTGGAGGAGCAGGGACGTTCAGTAGCAAATCATGGGAGCCTTGTGTACCCTAATAATTCCGTCTTCAGATCGGCGGCGAGCGGGGAAGGGCAATGAGAAGGATAAGTTTTTTTGTTTCAGAAGGTGGCAGGACCTTTCAGATGCCCTCGCGCCTTCTCTGCAGTTTCCCTTGTCTTCGGGGAAGGATCTAACAGTCATTAATAATACGGCCAGAAGACTTCCGAGCCTTCTGTGAAGGCAAGCCTTTTCTCACTTTCCCCCCCGGGCTCGCCACCTGTCAGAGACTTTAGAGTTCAATGGCGCCGATTCGTCTTTTATTCATTTGGGTTAAGATTGGCTCAGGGCTGCGTTGCCCTTGGAATTTGAATTTCTTGTCGCTCAGGCTGCATTCCGCTGGGACTTCAAACTTATTCTTGCCCAGGCTGCCTGATGTCCCATGGATGTCACAGATGTTCAGATGTTCGTTGAATTTTCATTGAACAAACTAGTGTCAGCTAGTGATCAACAAATGATCAGACCCCCCCCCAGGGGCTGATGAATAGACTCTGTGGGGCGCGAACCATGTTTGTAATCACGCGCGCCAGGGGGTCGTCGGTGGCTGGCGCCGCCGAAGGGATCGTGTGACCCCCTGCACGACAGCCTTCGCCGTCATCGTCGTCGTCTTCGCCGTCGTCGTCGACTGTCGTCGACTGACTACAGCGGGCCTGCGCAGCCCCCCCCCCATAGGGCATCCGCAGTGCGTCGTCGTCGCCGCCGTCGCCTTCTGCCGTCCGCCGTCCGTCGTGGTCGTCCCGTCGTCATCGTCGTTGTCGTCGTCGTCGTCGGCGTCATCGTCGTTGTCGTCGACGACTACAGAGATCACGATAGACGGGGGAGGGGAGGACTGCCCGCCTTACTCGGGTCGCCTTACTCGGTGTAGCGAAACCTGCTGCGCGCTGCTGGTTTCGGTTTCTCCGCCGAGGGGCCAATCCTCGATGCATGGCCGCCTCCGGCGCCAAGGGGCCTTCAGAAAATCAGCAACGTGAGCTGCTGGGCAAATCCCCTGTTGGCCACGCCCCCCCTTCGTCCAGTCCGCCTTGTTCGCGGGCCCGCGAGGCAGCTAGCGCCTCCCTGGCTGCGGCCAGGGCGGAGGAAGCGCATCGGTTCGACCAAAATGACCATGGACGTGCGGGGCCAAGCGCCGAGAATAGTTTTTTACACTCACGGTGTCGCCCTGGCTCACGGTCCCTGTTTCTGCCGCCTTCGTCCCGCGCCCCTCCCCTCCCCAAGTTTGTGCTGTCAGTCGCCGTCGCCTTGGCGGCCAGGCGCCGGCGCTATCACCAGCGCCGCCCCGTTGATTTTCAATCTGGCGGGCGCAACCCCGCGAGTCGCCCGGGGAGGGGAACTATTTTTAAACATGCGCCCCCCACGGATTTGTTATTCTGAAGCGCACATTGCAGCGCGTTTTCGTACACAGCGGTTCCAAGACGCGCTCGCCAGGTGCACTTGTCCAGCATTTGTTCAAACACCGCACGGTCGTGTAATCGAAATGGACGGCCTTGGCGACATGGGGGCCGCCGATACCTCTGGAACGCTATCCGGCCGCCCGGTACGCCCACTGCTGCGTCTTGAACTACATATGGAACACGCCCATCACCCGTCCATGCTCGAGACGATCGTTTACTTGAGTGAGAATGAGTTGGATCCGATCAATTTGTTGTTGCTCAACCTCGCTTGGGGAATCGCGGCATTTATCTGGTTGCGTTACGTACACAGATCGTTTCCGGCGACGCAACCGCAAGAATTCCACGTTGCGGGGTTGAACAAGGATGGCGTGATTGAAGTTTGCAGGAGCGCCGAGCTTCTCGTCGAGACGCTGCGGTCCTGGCTGCCCTGGCCAAAAACTACCAGGACTCGTGCACGTGAGCTTTGGACGCAGAGCCGCTATGTTAGGAGCTGGTTGGGGTGGCGAACGACATCAAACACGCGATGCAAACTGCTAGTGGGGTAATTGGGACGTCGCGCAAGCAAAGACGCAAACCGCGGATTTCGAAATATGCGTTGAACCTGTTCGTTGCACGGGGTACGGCCAGCAAGGCCAAATATTTGGAGAAGAGCGACAGTTTTCGAAGGAGGCAATGCGTTCCGCGAAACGAGGCACAATGCTGTGGCGAGACGCAGGATTCCGAGACGGGACATGGCTGGCGTGCTTGACGCGCACGCTTAAAACCCGCTTGATGCCGTTAGGCTTTTTTTTACTGGCGGGGAGAAGCATTGGCAGCGTAGTCCGAAACGCACGGGCATATAACTCCCGACCCAGACGTCGCGGCCCAATCGGAGATGCACCCCGTTGTCGGCTTGAACACGTTTAGCATGGAACAGTTACAGGAAGCGTCCAAACGACTACCTGTTGGGAAAACAAGTGGCGAAGATGTAGTACCACATGAGTTCTGACAGATTTTTGTTGTGTCGAACGGGGGCGTTGGAACCAACGATTGCGTCATGTCAGACATGTTGGGGGGAAGCGCGGTATGCCGCATGTGTGGGACATCGCATATGTACCAGGTTTGCTCGAATAAGAGATGCGCACAACGCGCTGGCATTGCAAAGGGGCGCCCGCTCTCCCTCTCTCTCTCTATCTCTATCTCTTTTTTCCTCTCTCTCTCTCTCTCTTTCTATCTCTCTCTCTCTCCTTCCATATTTCCATGTTTCTCTCTCTCTCTCTCTCGTTTGTTTCTCTCTCTCTCTCTCTCTCTCTCTCTCTCTCTCTCTCAGTATATACACATCTACACACATATATATATGAACATATATCTATATATACATATGTGTGTATATGTATATGTATGTGTAGATATACACATATATATATATATATATATATATATATATATATCCCTGGGGGGCAGGCCCGGGGCCCACGAACAGCTGCCCCGACCCCCCATGGGAGGACGGGGCGGCGGGGGAAGCCAAAAATGGTCCAGGAGGTCCTCCAGAGGCTCCCCAGACGGCCCAAGCGGGCCCCGAGTCGCCGCAAGACTGCTCCTGGACGCCCAAGATAAGCCCAAGATGGCCCGAGAGGCCCCCCCAAGGCACTCCACGACGCTTCAAGACGCCTCTCCAGAGCACTTCAAGTGGCCGAAATCGTAAATTTTACGCAGGTTTTGGACAGGTCTTGGCCTTCCAGCCTTTTCGGCTGTCCGACGTTCCATGGTCCCGGACAGCGTCAGAGGCCCTTCAGATTGCTCCAAGACGGCCGAAGAGGCTCCCAAGAAAGACCAGAGGTCTCAGGAGGCTCCCCAGATAATTCAAGAGGGCCTCGAGAGCGCCCCAAGAGAGCCCCAAGAGCGACCCAAGAGGGCCCGAAGAGCGCGACATTTCAAAGTCTCCGGCCTGAGAGGCTCCTGGGACGCCCACGGAGGCCATCAAGAGGCTCCCAAGAAGCCCCGTGAGGCTCCCAAGAGGCCCCCCGGAAACCCCAATAAGCCCCCAAGGGGCCCCCAGGGAAGTCCCCTGCGGGCCCCCAAGAGACCTCGGTAAATCGCATAAATCGGATTTCCCAAGGAGCTTTCCGGGAACATGATTCCTTGGGGTTCCGCCCAGGCTTGCCGACAAGGCCAAAAAGGGCCCCTCGGTAAGCCCCCAGAGGCCCCCCTCTTAAGAGAGCCGAACAAATCATGATCCCGGAAAGCTTCCCGGGAACATGATACTCGGGTTGCCGCCCTCTCCCCAAACCATGTTCCCTAAACGCTTGCCAGGATAAGAAAACGAGAGTCCCAAGCAACGCTACCTGCCGTCACGCTCGGAAACGCGTCAGGCCCCGAAGCCTCTGGAGACGCCCAACGACACCCCAACAAATCATGTTCCCAGGAAGTCTTACGGCCAGTGCCGCCGACGTTGAAGGAGGACGGTCCAGGACACCCAGAAACCTTCCAAACAGGCTTCCAAGAGGGCGTCCAGACAGCCCAGGGCCGCCCCCAGACGAGGCCCCGGAACGAGGACATATCGTTCGAACACGCCCAAGATGGCCTCCGGATGGCCCACAAGGCTTCCAACACGGCCCAAAGGGACGCCAAAATCATTGATTTAGGTTTTTGATTGATTTCAGACACCCTATGTCGCCCCAACAGGCCCCCACGAGGGCGCCGAGACGGCCCACCCATCCCCTGCCGCGGGCACGAGGCGGGGCCCGGGACGGGGCCGTCGCACCGGGAGGCCCGGGGGCCTTGCCGTGGCGCTGGGGGCCTTATAAAGTCGCCCGAAGACGGCCCTGGATTGCGAGAAATGGCGTTTCCAGACATCGAAAACGACCAATGACCGCTCGAGATTACCCCAGAATTGGTCCCTGACTGTCCAAGAGGCCTCCAAGATGCCCCAAGAGATCTCCAAGATGGTTCCCAAGGAGCCCCAGGAGGCACAACTAATTTATTCTCCTTTGGTTTCTGATAGATTTTCGAGTTCTCGCCTTTGAGTTTCCTGACGCTCCACGACGGCCCAAGAGGCTTCAATTTCCGCTCCAAGGCATCCCCAGAGGCCTCGAAGACGGTCACAAGGCAGCCCACGGGGGTCCCAAGACGGCGCCAGAGGCGCCCAAGTCGGCCCGAGAGGGCCCCAAGACGGCCCAAGATGGAGCCAAGAGGGTTGACACGAACCGAAAATCCGAGTCTTCCACCCCGAGAGGCTCTCAGGAAGCCCCGAGAAGCCCCTAACAGGCTCCAAGAGGCCCCAAGAAGCCCCCCAGGGGGCCGAAGAGTATCCCAGAGGCCTCCCACGAAGGCCCCATGAGGCAAACATCCATGTCTTGCCATAGGCTGTTGATTGATGTTAGAGGTTTCAGCCTTTTGGCGTCCTGACGCTCCAAGACTGCCCAAAAGGCCTCCAAGACCAATCCAAGATAGCCCAAGAGGCCTCCAACAGGGCCCAGGACAGCCCGAGAGGCACCAATACGGCCCCAAGGGGGGCCCAAGAGGGGTAAGACGAACCGAAAATCCGAGCCGTCCACCCCGAGAGGCTCTCAGGAAGCCCCAGA